GTGTGTGTGTGTGTGTGTGTGTGTGTGTGTGTGTGTGTGTGTGTGTGCGTGTATTTTTGCATATATCCCTATAGCATATCCCACTATAAAATAAAAAATACACACACACGTTCGCACTCTTTTTGTAATTGAATTTTTATGATGTTTTCTCAAATTAATCGTTATTTTAAGTTACTTCATTTTAGCGTTAATCTGACAAACTTTGTTTTTACAAATACAAAACTGTAAAGTTTATACATAAACAAATAAACTACCGAGAGCACAAACCAAAGTAGTATACCTAATGTCAATCTGACGCAGTACAGAGCGATAAGAAAATACGAGTATTAAATGCACCATTTTCTAATGCCATCACAGCACTTACTCCCCTTCACAGAAGACCTATGCAGAGGTCCATAAGTCGATCGTAGATTGTGTACAGGACGTAGATGCGGTATCTGTAATATGCAAAACGTTACTCATTTGTTAACCACCTCGCATTTTCAAATTTAACATTAATTTCAGAAAATTAAATGGAAATTTTGCAAAAGTCCACTTTTTCGTTTAGTGAAGGTATCGGCTTTGTCGTGCGATATCACTATATGGCCTTAATAAAAGGTCATTAAGTCTGTTTACATAAGTTTAATTAAAATTTTATTAAAAATGTATTATAGTTCTCGAGTAGCGACCGCGTACAGGAAGACGCAGCGTGGGCAGATCAGGTGGACCGATGACCAGGTGATAGTTGCAAGAATCCGCTGGATGCAAGCAGCACAAGACCGGTCGTTGTGGCGTTCTTTGGGGGAGGCCTATGTTCAGCAGTGGACGTCTTTCGGCTGAAATTATGATAATAATGACACTAAGACCAAAGTAATAAATTCAGTTGTTTTTACTTATTATTTATTAACCGACTTCAAAAAAGGAGAAGGTTCTCAATTCGATTGTATGTTTTTTTTCTTGTATGCATGTTACGTGATAACTCGAATAATAACAAAATAAGTACTTAAAAAAGCCAACCTCAAAAGTGCATGGAATTACATCTGTTTGCCAAGTTTTTTATTGAAGTCGGCTAACGGTACGTGGGTGAAATCCAATAAACCAGATTCATCCCCTAATTTACTGCAGTTAGAGGTGGAATATTCTCTTTAAATTTGAATGTGACCGCTACTGAGGCACCCCCTTTCCAACTAGAAAGGAGTCATCCAAATCGGTTCGCAAATGTAGGAGTAATAGCGTAATATACACACAAAAAGCACAAATTTAGAACCTCCTCCTTTTTTGAAGCCGGTTAAAAATATAAATATTAACGCACACTCGTAGCCTAGCACTAGGCAAATGACACCCAAACTCACGACAGAAATAAATGTAGGCCATACAAATAATTATCCCGGCTCAGGAACCGAACCTTTGCGTGTCTGGCCAGCATGGTAACCGTTCGGCCACGGAGGCAATGTAAATAAACATAAAATATAAAAATAACGACATCAAATGAAAATAAAATTACAATTTCTTGGAAAGAAATTCCTCTACATTGTAGAATTCATTATCCAATAAAAGGAGTTTCACTCGGGCATAAAATGTTCCGTCGTTAGTAACACTTTTTAGATATGTGGGTAGGTGTGCGTAGAATCGGGGATCTATTACCCGCGGATTTCTCGTAGCTAGTTCGGTACGGTGGGCAACGGAAGTGTAGCAAGTATAATAAAAATTTACGTAGCCATTGAAAGGAAAAAGACAACAGCCTTATTAGTGTTGCCATAGGGCGCGACTCTCGATGCCTAGCTCAATTAACGGTAATAAATATATTTTTTTAAACATATTGAGAATGTTTAGTCTGTTTATTCTAAAGACTAAATATGCTCAATATGCAGAAGAAACAAATTTGACGACAGCCGCGCCTCAGGGCATTGTGGGCTGGAACGTTTCCCGTTTTAATACCTAAATAAAATAGAATATACGCTTCTAGTTGCCGGTTGCTTGTATCCAACGTAAGACACAAGTTTGTTTATTGTTTACTACAGTGTTAGAACAGTTTAATAAACGGCTTAAAATTAATAGTAACTAACAATTTTAGCAGGTATTAAATTTTGTTTCACAACCACACCAATTGAGTGGTCTTAGTCTAGGAAATTCCCTGACTATGAGTAAAACCAATTTGGAGATGTCCATTTCCCAATTTGGTCCAGCGGGAATCGAACCCGGAAACTCCTCGCCCAGGACTCACAGTGCAAACCTTTGGGCCACCGAAATCGTCTATAAATAAAAAGGCGGTAATTGATCATTATCAAGCCATGTTTTTCATTAACTATTTGTCAGCTACCTTTAAATAAAAAAAAATCCTGCCTGAATTTTCGATACGATTGGAATTTCATAGTAAACAAAAATAGGGTAGTTGATATATTTTTCGTAAGTATCTGCTAACTTTATGTTTAGTACATTTCAAAAATGCTTTACTTCAACGACAACGGTTTAAAAAACAAATAATAAAGAAAACTTATATTCGAGAAAAAACTTATATTCCTGTCTGATATTTCTACACGATTAGGTTTTCGTAACAAATAAAAAAGATTTCCTGTTGTTGTATTACACCGCAGTTACCTTTCATAGACCTCGCCATAAAATGGAACTGTGAAAATAACTACACTGCACTTGGTAGACTTTCGATCGTAGCACGGCTGCAATTGGATGCAGAGGGAAAAACAATTGCAGTTATTTACTTACCTGATCAGCTGGATATCATCTTGATAGCAAAGTAGCTTTCTTCCAGTTTGTGGCAGGTCATGAAGTCGCCGTATTCAGTCATCTTTCTTATTGAGCGTCCTCTTGTGATTCGCAATCTGTAGTAAAACATTGTGACAAAACGTTAAAAATCCGTAGAAAAAAGCCGTGATATAATGGTTTGACCTACCGCCTCTTAAGCGGAGGCCGTGGGTTCGAATCCGGTCTCACACCTTTGAGTTTTTCAGAATTTATGAGCTTTTCGGTGAAGGAGAACATGTGACGAAACCTGCACATCGAAGAAAGTTCACAACCCTCAGAAAACGTGTGAAGTCCCCAACCCGCATGGGGCCAGTGTGGCGGAGACCGGCTTAGACCCTCGCCTGAGAGGAGACCCGTACCCAGCAGTGGGACGTATAAATGGGTTGACGATGATAATGATGATGTTAAAGACCTTAAGTAATGTCGCAGACACCCCACCAATTAAATGGCCTCACAATAGGGAACTCCCTATACTACGAATTCCAAATTACCGTTAATCGAATCCGGGGCATTTTAATCTAATGCCCAGTGCACTAGCCGCTGCGTAAACGAGGTCCTAAGAAGAAGTTATTAAGACAACACATAACGACACAAATGTAAATTTTTTTTAACACGCATTTATCTAGGAAATGAAACTATTTTTCCGGATTTAAATCGCGTATATTTGTTTTTTCAAACAAACTAACGTTTCGGGCCCTTTACAGGTCCCATTTATCTAGTTTACAACTCAGAAATAGTAATACAAATTCCTCTTACACATTTTATTCTATAAAATTTATTCTAAAGTACTGAAATTAACGTTAAAAGCGTTAAAATGCGTGAGACTCAAAATAAACGTTTTGACCTATTCCAAGAACGCGGTTTTTCAACATTAAAAAGTACAAATTCAATTACTAAAAATTGTTTTTAAATGATAATGAAAACAGAAGACATCGTTAGCGAACTTTGCGTACAGAAACACGATCGACTAAATTTCGCTCACTCGATAAAAAAAAATAAGCAGTTCCACAAAATTTTTAATTTTTTACAGTTCATCTATCGAAAAATCAGTATCATTCGATTGTTATATTTCAATGAAATTGTTTCTCCTTAGTTTCATAATAAGTACGTCAAGGAATTATGACCTTATTTTACAGAAAGAGAGTACATTTTATTTCTAAAAGGCAAATGTTTAAACCGCGTCTACCTCACACACTTCAAAGCCTCACGCATCCACCTTTCATTACGTCGTTGCGCCATTTTGGGCCGCGCGCTTCACGAACGCCACGTGGAAGACGTGCGAATGTCCCTACCCTGGGGGTCTATCAAATAATTACTGTGAAATAAGTAATTTCCGACTAAATTAAATGACGCATGATGCCAATGAAGCTATGAGAAAGAAGTATAAACATATTTGATTGGGACGTGGCCTATATATAACCCCTGAGATCCACGTCCATCAGTATATAGTATATATTAAAATAAATTATCATATAATTGGTTAGTTAGGTTACAATAATTGCTCACTTACCATCAGTCTTGAAGGCATCGGTCGTATTGTATATTTCTTGTGATCTCTTATGTCTATAGCAAAGATACTATTAAATTGCATTATTGCAGATGTAACAAATAAATTTAAAAATAAAATGCGATCAATAATTCTGTGTCCAAAAGATGCTTGTTCACACATCCACGAGCAAAGGCGAAAAGAGCGACTGTTGGCGCCGACACTGTTAATTAAGCTTGAGTTAGAACGACGTGTCTTAACCTACCCTCAATTTTCCTAACATTATACGGGTATTGAAGTAAGGTACATCGCAAACATCACGACAGTTAGTTGCGATTTTCAAACGTTCCAATTGGATAAGGGTCAACCGAGGCGAACTTGCGACGACCGAATTCAGGACGTCCGAAAGAAATGCGTGGTCAATTAGCCGTACGAAGGCATTGATGCGTGTTGATGAGTTGAAAGAAGTGTATCAGAATGAGAAAGTGACGTGAAATATATGTATAATTTATTAAATATTAATAAACATATTTTTATTTGTGTAAGTGCAATGTGTGTATTAAATTCATATTTAGTGAGCATTTGTTGCGCCCTCATTACTCATTAATTTTTTAGTTTCTTGTCTGGAAGAGATTGCTATCTAGTAATAAGGCTGTCTGTTGTTTCTGTCTTTTATATTTTTATTGTATTTGTTCTTGTATGCAACAAATAGTATTTTGAAAGTTGTTAGTTCATGGAATTTTCCTGCAACCCATTTATTAACTTTAAATCGCTTGACAAAATGATACTTCCCATGCTTATTCATAATTGAATTCAATAATTAGGGGGCATAAGCGATGACAATCGAACGACTGATCCATATAAAGTGAAGACACTGGCGATTTATCGAACAGCATAATGTCAGACATCTGCGTTCGGGCGGCCTTTTGTTACGAGGGCTTTATTAAAACTTTCCCGTGGTTCGACCAAAGTTCCTCCAATTGAGAAATAATAGAAATATATAAATTGGTTACCACGGAAGTTCAACTCGATGGAAACCTTTTGCCATAAGACAATACTAAATTGAAAAGTAGAAAACTTTTAAGGAAACCTTGACGACCTCGATTGCCTAGTGGAACCCAGATTTGGTTCCCGGAACAACCAAAAACCTACTATTTTATTTTATTTTTAGTTATTGTTAATACACTGCCTCCGTTGGCCAACGATTACCATGCTGGAATGCCACACAGAGGTCCCTGGATTGATTCCTGGGCCGGGAGTAATTAACATTTGAAAGACCTACATTTATTTATCTCGTGAGTTTGGGTGTTATTTGTGGTTAATATGCGTTTTTCCACGGCACCTACGTAAATAATAATTTAAAAAAATGTATTAGTTGGAACCGCATATTACAAAAGGAAATGATTTTTTTGGAACTTTTAGTTATTTCATTTCTTCGTCAGTAATTTGTTTCAAAATACCCACCCATTGAAATAATCTGACTGGGTATCGAGGACAATTTTGAAATATAATTACACTAACCAATAAATACGTCTCAAGTGTTTCCCATTACATTAAACTCATAAAAATAATACGAACAAATTATGTCAAATTTTATAATTTTCATATTTCAGCATAAAAAATTTATCGACTTATTTGATTGAATCTTTAAACTTGTTTCCTAAAAAATTGCCATTTTGCAGTAGAGAACCTATTACAAGGGTGCGATCAGGATTCCTTTTCACTTATCAATTAAACAGACTGTTAAGTTTTAAAGACATAATTTGAATTAGTCTATACACATCGTACATGAAACCAAAGACCGTTGTAACTCAAAATTGTAGAATTGAGAAAACACATTTGAAACAGATTTGAAAGTTCAAAAAATTACTAAATGAAACCAATAAATTTATATCGTCATTTATAAATGGTTAACTAAATACTATATATTACCTAAAAATAATCAAATTGCACTCATTAAAATCCATTCAGTATTTTTTTTACATTTTGAAATGATGTTGCCTCAATTCCACCAATATTAGGTAGTTAGTGTAGGTAACAGTATTTGTTTTCAAGTGCGTATGTACATAGCTTGATGAGCAATATCCGAGATTAAAGGAAATACCAAAGTTTTCAATTACTAAATTATTATTTATTTATATACATTTATGTAATATTCACATATTACAAAATTTTATTGAATTTGGATAAAATTTTTTAAAAAAAGTACTAAAATAGGTACAACTAAAACCTACGTAATTATACATCTTATTTGCTAAACTGTACATTCTAAAAATATACAGTATTATTTATTATATACATAAACTATAGGCGGAATACCGACGTAAAGGCAGAAATATTCAAATGTTACAAAAAAATTATTGAATTGTAATACAGCTTCGTTAAAAAAATAAAAAGTACTAAAAACGTCTACCAACTAAAACCTTATTATACATCTTATTTCCTAAACTGTACATAGTAAAATTATTAAAACACCGAAATATACAGTATATCATATACTTAACTACCTATAGGCGGAATATCGACGTAACACAGACAATACTAAACATAAAACACAAATTTAAATCATACTTTACGAACTGTACCCAAATAATTTTGCGCGGGAAGACATACCAATATTATAATACTATTTACAAAATAAAATAATAATCACAAAGTAAGTCGAATAAAAATACGAATGATAAATATGTAGTTGACATTAGACAATGAACATATATTTAGAATTATCTAATGGACCTTTCAGTACCTTTGCTAGGAACGACCTGATCGCTTGATCGATCAGGAGACTCCGAAGTCTCAATAGACCCTGAGGTCCCAAGGGATGGACTTTGGAATCTCCTGAAAAATGCATCTACGGGAGAGTCTGGATTCTGATGAACTTGCGGAGTATGCGCCACGCCTGTCGGCGTATTTGGCATACTCCGCAAGTTCGTTGGCCAACTCTGCGTAGGGATCACCGGTCTGATTGGGACTCCAGGGATTCCTGGCATCATGACAGGGACGTATCTTCGAGGCCAGTTAAGTCCCACCCAGACCGGCTGCGGCAACGCCCTTGCTGGTGGTGCTAAAGTGTAAACCATCTGTGGATGTAGATGGGCCACAGATGACACAGGGACCTCCAGCATCGACTCAAGAGTCATCACCTTGAACGCCTTGAGTCGAGCCGAGTGGTAAATCCGCTGTGCCGTGTTCACTTTAACCTGCTCGGCGGCCGCATCAGGAAATGCTTCCTGATCCCGGAGCAGTCGCCGAACCAACGTCTCTCCATAGTTAAAACCTTTAGAACTCTCCTGTACACTTTCCTGGTCAAGGATCTTAGCCGATGCCTCAGGGACGTTCGCAGATCTTTCCGATGAGTTGTCGGAAGGTGCCGGACACTTGCAGCCCTTGAGGCTGCAGCAGTTCAAACAGCTTGATTCCTCAAACTCTTCCAGCACGGTGATCAGCTCTCGACGAATAGATTGGAGGTTCAGCTCCTGGAATTTTAAATTAAAACGACTTAAATAAGTTAATTAAAAAAGACTTACCTACATAAAACTTACATTTGTTTATGAGCTGCATCAATGAAATAGTACTTTCTATTTAATTTCACCAGTTTAACTTTTGACATTATCCAAAGGTAAATAAAGAATAAATCAACAAGTGCGCTTGGTGTAACCGGGAATCATAAGAAATGTTGGGTTTCAAAACTACAATTCATCCTTTTCTGTTCAAAATTTACATTACAGGAAAATATGAATAAAGGCATTTAGGAAAATCAACATGTTTCTCTCACGAAAATACTCGAAAAACTAAATTAAAATGCCTACTACACCTTAAAGCATCGTGTTTTTGCGAGGTCACAAAACATTACTTATCTTAAGTATTATAAAATAATAATGAAAACTTACCAATTGAAAGTTGCTGTCTTCGTAATAATAGTCGTTGTGGCCAGCCATGATTTTTTCTTAACAAGACTTCAAAGTTTTCGGTCAAGGAAAGTTAAACGTCAAACAGTTCTGAAACTGCTTGACTGAATTTACGTGAACTGAGGGACCACCAGGAGTACTTTTGGGTTTAAAAAAACTCAAATAATTTTTAAAGTAAAGAAGAATTTTCTAACCACTAACTCCAAAGAGAAAGCGATTAGAAATGTAAAACTTTTGGCACACCCGCCCTATTTATACTGATCTACCTGCGCTTGCGACGCCAGTGTTGTTGTTATCGATTTTATGGTCGGCTGAGTCATTATCGAAAAGTTATTTGAACCTATTCGTTGCTAAAATAGAGGTAAATATGTAAAATATAAAAACCCAGCTATGTAACTTACAATATTGTAATAATTATTTATTATTTCGAACAACATAAATCCATATCTAATTAATAACAGACTTATAAACTATGCTAGTACATTAATTTAAACTTAGATCTAGATAAATCTATGTAGTGGCTTATTACAGGCCACTCCATTTTTTTAGTAATCATTTGCAGGATGCTATTGTTACTGTTATATAGTTTGTTTAAAAGAGAAGGGATTTTCTTCCGCAGTACGGCAGAGAAGGAGTCTGTTTGCCGCAAACCTCGAAGACGCATTACAAATATAAATTAATTACAGATATAAAATAATTAATTATGACAAAATATTAGAATTACAAAGGTTATGTATTTTCAGAACAAAATGCATTTTGCTATAAAACAGCTTTTTGTCTGTTTATCGATTGACTTGGATCTATTTATCGACTTGTCCGCCAACACTATCTTTAGAATAACGTGGTGTTTTGAATCCCTTTTGTAAACTAATCACTTTCACGGAAAGCGCTCCTTATCAGTTCGTGTTAATTTTAATTTGCCTATACTTAAGTAATTACATTAATTTGTTAATAACATCGTTATAATTTTGTAACAATTGGGGAATTTGTTTATTACTATGATAACTTTGATTTTGTGAGTAGATCGCTCGTTAGTAAAGGCCTATTGTGACAAATATTCTTTACCCGCATTCTTGTAATATCAGTCATTGTTATGATTGCTGATGGTTATGAATTATGCCCACCTGCAATAGGTCCCTTTACAGGGTACGGAGCTCCTTTAGGACAGTGTCCATTGGCCGTCCTTTTAGCTTGCTCGCACAGGTGATATT